AGTAACCAAAGTTACTTAAATGCAGTTGGAATAGTATATTAATCCTTATCCAGATGCCCAGGAGGCCTCCATGTCATTTCCGTGACATTAGTAAATACGCTTTTAAGGTCTTAAAACGTGGCAATATGCTTGCTCTTCTATAGCTCTCTGAATTCCTTCGCTCTATAGTCTTTTCTCTCTTATAGCTTCTCTAATAAAGATCTCTTCTCTCTTCTAAGGCCTTAAAAGATGGTTGTTTTAAGCAGTTATAGCGTCTTAGCACATTACGCAAAATAAGGAACTTGCTAGCAGTACTAACTTACAAAGCTAATAAAGTATTTAAGATTATAGCTATTCTTAAGGATATTCTACTTAGCTATAACTGCAAGCTTCTCTTCTATTATTGAATATCTAAGTCTGCTAATAAGTTTCTTAAGTATTATAAGCTCTTAAAAGCTAAGATAAGTCTTTATAGCTTTAAAAGTATAATTAATGTTAGTAAAACGTTAAAATATAGTATCTAAATTATATAGATACTAACTAAAAGGCCTTTTTATAAAGATATTAATGTTATTAATATAGATGTTAATAATCTTCTAAAGTAATCTAATAAGTAATTATTTAAAAATGTATTAGTTATAGACAGAAGAGTTCTTAAAGCCTATAAGGGCTACATGAAATAGCTTTAGACTTTGATATAATGCTATTATAATTTAATATTAGTTGTTAGAATATGTAAAGTACTAGTAAAAGCTAAATACAAAATTAATAAAAGAGATGTAAGTAGCTAGGGCTATAACAGCAAGGATATCCTCTTAAAGAGGTAAGGGATATATATCTGACTTTGTAACATTATTCAGAGGTTATAGATCTATTATAGGTCTTGCCTTTTTGATAGCTCCTTCTAGGGTATATTTATAGATTACAAAAACTAATAAGGAGTAAGGAGAATACTTTACTAGCGCCATCTGATTAAGCTAGATATTTTCGTTAAACGTATTATTAATTGCCTGCTTTATTTACAGAGCGTTATAATAAGGAGGTCAAGGCTTGAGATTTCATTCTAATTCAGAAGCAACTTTAATATATAGCCACTCTTCTTCTAGCTAATATGCTATACCAGGTCTATTATTAAAGATGACTACAAAGCGCTTTGTTAGCTTTCGGAGCTGCTTTTATTAATTTAGAAGCAGCTTGTTATTAATACGTACCTCTAATAGGTGGAAGTAGAAAGATTAGAGACTATAATACCCTCAGGCAGTTTATATTAATAGCGAGGCTAATACGCTTCTTCTAACCACCTTACGCTAGTGTTCTTCGCCTTTTATAATAAGGTCTTTAAACTGCCTGTGTAGTTTTATAGCTCTTAATCTAGAAAGCTATTTAGTATCTTAGTTACTTACGCTATATACATAAAATTTCTGTTATAGATTAACTCTGCTGTACTAAATAATGTCACGCTTAATCTAGCAAGGCTTAGAATCCTGATTAGAGAATATAATTATGTTCTAAGTAGCTAAAATAACTCTATCAGGTATCTTAGGATATTAGATATAAATAGAAAGTCTGCCTTGCTAGAATAACTTATTTAGAGAGCAACCTAGCCTATAGAGTTAGCAAGGATAGTATAGTCTTTGCCTACACAAATAATAAAGTTAGCTATTAGCTCTTAGGTAATTTAGAAGCGAATAATAATAATAGGCTTTCTATTCTTATTAAATTAATAGAATATAACTAATTAGCAAGGGATATTTAGAACTAGATTCTAGACTTTAATATAGTTAGTACTAATAAGTAGACTAGTGCCTAGGTCATTAAATATAAGTACTTTAATCTTAAGTTTTAAGAAGACTCTCTTATTACTTTAGAGATAAAGAATAAACTTTGCTAGCTTAAAGACCTTCTTTTTACCTCTGATATTATAAATAACTAGATGTACAATAGGTTTAATAATATGAGGCACGTTATCAAGTACCTTATAGTTTATTACTAAGCGGTCAAAACCAGAGTTTATAACGATAGTAATGACTTATGTAATGTCGCTATTAGTGCTAAGATACGCTTTAACGCAGGTCTTAGTATAATTAGCTATCTCTTTTAGCTGCTTGCCCTTTGGCTTAGCCGTAAAATTGATAACTATAAGGATCTCCTTAATGGCGTGAGCGTTAAAAGCTTTAAGATGGCTATGCAGCTGATTGTTTGACAGAAATGCCTCTTGGCATTCTTAATAGGCAACGCTAAAGTTCGCTATCACCTCATCCTTACTAGTGCTGGTATCCTCTTCGCTAGAGTCCTTATTGAGTTGCTCTCGCTATATTATATAGGCGTGTTATTATTAATAATAGTCCTTATCTGGCACATTATTAGAGGATTTGTCTTCCTCCTTAGTAGCGAAAGCCTTCTTCTTATCCTTAAGAGGGCATTCGAAGTTCTAGTAGTTAGCCTTTAAGCCTCTAGCTAAGCACTTTCGGCAGAGATATAGTACATTAGTATTAGAAGGAACCTCTCTAGCTTTAGTAGAGGCGTTAAAATAATACTTAGCTTCCTCCTTACCTTTTTGCTTCTTATAGCCTTTGTTATATGATTTTTCTATATATTAATCAGATCTAGAGGTTACAAAATAGTAAGGAGAAGCGTAAAAGCTGTTACAAGGTTCTTTAGCCTTAGCCTTTTTATTATAAAGGCGTTAATAATTATCTTAGATCTCTTAAAAGAGATTACGAAATTGTTATAGCAGTAAGCAGTTATAAGCTGCTATAGAAAGCTGTAGTTCTAGGGCATATTAAAAGCCTTTGTAAACTCTTATAACAATATCTGCTTCTGAGGTCATACTAGCAATGCGCAGCTTGCCGACTTTTTCGTCTACGTACTCTGCTAGCGAACGATTTTGGCTCTAGCGAAACATTTCTTTATCTGTACTAGAGCGTAGCTGAGCGTCAGTACTTATAAAGTCTCTCTTAAGAACCTTGATCCACTGGGCTAGGGATTTTAGTAGGACTTTCTTCTCATCTGCAAAGAGTGCTAAGTACTATGTATAAGCTATTTCATTATCTAGGCAACAAGATAAGAGTATAGCAAGCTTAGAAGCGTTATTTTAATAGATTTTCTAAGCGTCAGTAATTCGCTTTATAAAGATACGCGCTGACTTCTTATCCTGGCGATTAGTAGGCTTAAAAAGGTAGACCTTAAAGGGCTTTAGAGTCTTTGCTTTTGCTGCTGCTAGTAAGGCCTAGATCTTATTTATAAGTTGATTTATAGATTCTTTATGCCTCACATTTATCTGCTCCATCATCTCTCTAAAGAGTTGCAGGTCCATGACTACAAATATAGAATATGTAGTCTTGCTTATTTCTTCTACTTCTTTCTTCTTATCTGCTTCCTTAGGTTCACTATCTGTATCTGCTTCCTTAGTTTCACCCTTGTTCTTTATAGATAAGGCTCGACTAGTGGCAGGGTCACGGGCGCGGAGAGATCGTATTATACACGCAAGCGCTCTGTAGGACTTATATTTGCGCTGTCTGACGAACAACTAGTAGGGACGAACCGGACTAGCCCGTTTCAAGGATTTACACGACTTTTAGACGCCAAGCGAGTCTAATCTTGCGTGTAGGCGTTAACAGAGGAGTCGGCTTGTGGAGAGGGGCAGGAGGCAGGAGGCGCTCTGTGGTGAGAGCCTCGGACTTGACAGTAGAGAGAGAGCAGGAGATCGAGTTGCTCAAAGAGGAGAGCGTCGAACTTGCTTAGGGAGGCGAGCGTCAAGTTGCTCAAGGAGGCGAGCGTCGAGTTGCTCAAGGAGGCGAGCGTCGATTTGCTCAAGGAGGGCTCGAAGGGCTCGAAATCTGTGCTCGCGATTTCGAA